AGGGGGACATGGGCGCAACCCCTCAGCTGTTGGGGGACCAGACTCGCTCAATCGGGCCTCCCTCGGGAGCACACCGAGCACGTTTGCCCTTCCTCTGTTCTTGGTGATTGGGTGAGGTACGATGAACATTCACGGTTTTTGCAATAGCATCTAATGAAATTTTGAGGTAGATTTCCCGCTCTCCCCACCATTTCAAGCTTCTGGCTGGCTCTCTCCTGTCCATCACCACCATGTTCTCTGCTTTCTCTTTACCTCCTGCATTTGGTGTCTTAAGCATGTCTGTAAAAAACTGGCAGAGCCATAAGGTAAGAGGGGGCTGCAGCAGACATTTACCGTATTTCAGCAGCTGACAACAGTCATATAAGTTGAAGGTAAAATACGAGGTAAGAATGGGTCTGTGTTGAACTGTAAGCACTCTTTGGTGGCGGTGGGCACGTTAAAAACTGCATTAGATCATAAGGCACTTGAACAGCAAGTTCCTGTTCAACTCAGTGAAACGTTATGATTTAAATGAGGGAGCGCAGGCGTCTAGACCAACTTTGTTCCTTTGCTTCTGTCTAATGCAGCATCAGAAAGATGCCGTGCAACAGACTGGTGAGCTAGGTAAGAAAGCATAACTTTATTAGTAGTGTGATTTAAAAAACAAAATTAATGATGGCTTTGTGTAGAGTGGAACTGTGCCTAGTGCAAAAAAACCAACGGCATTCCCTTTGTCAGGGACTACAGATGAGGATGTTTTGGGTTGTTGCTTTTGTTTCCCCCCTCCCCATGGACAGTTATTTTCAGAACACTTGATTGACAATCCAAAGAGCTAGGTTTTGTTATTTTTTGCAAATGCATTCTTATTGTCTACATAACTCTCTTATCAATGAAGTTTTTGAAAGTTAGAGGATAGATCTCAAGACTCCTAAAAGCCCTAGATTAGAGTATCTGCTGTATGAGTTTCTGCTGGCATTGACCTTCAGGATATCTTTTTTCTAAATGGCTTTCCTAGAAGGAAAAGAAACTGGAAGGTATGAAAAATGCAAATTTTCTTTGATAGTATCTACCTTTTCCATTGGGGGTGATGATGCAGGACTCTGAAGTGAAAGCAGAGAGGGCTGGTGGGTTGGTGACAAGGAACAGTTTAGGAATGTTTCTTCTCAGCCTCTGCCCAAGACAGTTTGGGTGTTGTTTTTTTTTTTTCTGTGGTTGAGACAATGAGCAGGAAAGTCAAATATACAGAAGACAGCTTGAATTCCAGTGAATTGTGATTTAGGTGTCTGTCAGATGCTGTTGAAAGTGTTGTTATACAAGTAAGAGCATAAATCTATTTTAATTGCTTTCATTAAAAAATGTTTAAAATCATAAATACTATGGGTCGCAAACAACATAAGACAAAGCAAATAGTACAATAATAGAACACACACCCACATTTATACTGTAAATAAAATATATGCTGTTACAGAGTAGAAATCACTTATTTTTAGGAAAGTTAATAAGTATTTCCAAAGAGATGTTGCATTGCTGAGGCTATTCTAGGCTAATAGGAAGAGTATTTGAATTGTTCAGCAATAATCTCTTCAGTACTTGTGTCATGACAACAGATTTCTGAAATGTTACTGAGCCAACGTCACTCTTAATTCCCTTGATGAGTGACACAGTAAGTGAGACCAATTATCCCCAAATTTAGCTCTTTTTTTTTATTCTCAAACCGATGTATATTTCCCCAAAATATTAGCTGAATGGCTTCTAAACAATCAAACTTCAATCTTGCGAAACTGCTTGCATGCTATTGCGTTCAGCTATGTTGCTCAGTATTTGTGGTGTGCAACGAACCGCCTGTGCCTATTGTTTTTGTTCCCAGAGTAAATCTCTGAAGGCTTTGGCAGCCTTAAGCTCTGTTGAAGTCATTTGGCTTTGAAGATGCTCGCAGCTTTATTATGTTGTTGTTAAAAGTGTTAGAATTTTGAAAGGCCCACCCACCAAATATTGCAAATAACAGTAGCAAAACCTTTTCATTTTGTACAAACACTAGTGCGACTTGGAGACCATTCCATCCTCCAAATGTACATATGTTTGAGCAAAGGGTTCCCAAAAACAAGTAACAAGGATATTGAGACCATTGCTCAATAACCACAGCCATTATTTTGCAATATTTATGGAGCTCTGCAGGGGTTTTCCTGGGATGAGAACCGAGTTGGTTTTAATAGCAATATTTTCAGTTGTGTCACATGGATTGTTTCATGTTATTAGAGCTGAACGCTGTTATCTGCCATTTCAGAGTTGCTAGTTATAGATCTTGCAGCAATGCATCTGTATGCAGCAACCTACAGCAAAATGCCATGTGGTTTGAATACCAGCTTTACCCACCGTGAGACTCTCTGGTATGCATCAGTATCCAGGGAATGTGTCTGGGCACCTTTCCTCTTTAACCTGGTTGATTGAACATTATGCATCCATGTGTGTTATTCCCAAAACTTATTCCCAAATGTTTAGGATAGTTGCCACTTAAACCGGTTTTGTAGAAATGACACGTGGGGATTTTTAAGATGCTCTTCATATTTTTTACCAAAACTCAGCCTACAGAGTGCTTTAAGACACACGTACAATCAGATGCTTTTTCTTGTACAGCTAAAATATATGTATTTTTTTCAATAGATTTGCATATCTGTCCAGAAAGAACTACTCTTCTTAAGCAACAGGTAAGGAAAAGAATATGGGTAAAATATTTGGGGAGGAATGGGAAAGGACATTTAATATATTTAATCTTATTATACATTTTTTCTACATTAAAGTCAACAGGCTGCACATATATTCTGCTACAAAGCTTTGTGTAAGAAATATCTCTATAAGAAAATACATCTCATTAAACATTTCCTGTAAATAAATTATCCCGAATAACTATGTTTTGCAAGAGGAAAAGTGGGGGTAGGCCAATGATAAAGACGAGCTAAAAATTGCTGAGCGCCCATTTCTGCAACCCCCCCGCTCACGCTGGGTGTAATTTTCTTTCATATATAGTCACAACGAGAGCAATAAAGTTCCTCTGCTGAGTATGTGCTGTGTCAGTGTCAATAACACTTGCAAAATTGGTTCCTGTACTTTAATATCTTGAAATTATGCTAATTCTGAGCCTTATTCCTGTTTCAGTTACACTAGAAAAACTCTGAAATCAAGCAGAGTTGCAATGATAGATAAAACTCTGACTGAGACTATTACAAAAACAGAAGACCCTGTCTCTGAGCAGTCCCTCTAGGTCAATAAAAAATAACTCCAGTAGAGAAAGAGGTGCATGAAATACTCCTCTGATTTAGACTCCTATAAAAGATAAGATAAAGGCGATGTAGCTGAAGTCTGTGTTCTAATTAGGAAGTCTGAGTTGGTGGTGTAGCTAAGCTATAGCTTTAAAACAACTGCTGGTGGAGACATGTCAGTGGAAGAAGGTGTCTTAGGTATGGGTGACACGGTCTTCGAAGTTAAACTACATATTCGTGCACCCACATTGTTCGTAACTGATTAAACATGAAAACATAAAAATAGGCAATTATAAACAGGTAATTACAACTTAGCAGTAGGTCAGTTACAAAACCAGACTTCTTTAAAGAAATATCAGTCTCTTTACCAATGTCTATACAAAGGAATACTTGCAAATAAGTAAAATGAAAAAAGTTTGAAAAGACCTGGGAGACAAGTCAAGAGATAGAGACTGTCCTTTCTTTCAACCGATACACAAACGATGTAGAGTTGTCAGCTGTTTCCACAGTCCACGTACTTCCATCATTCCTAGCAGAATAGTCCAGACTGAGAGGACATCAAGTTCAGGCTGAATGCATGCTGGAGGCTCGTATGTTGTGACATCGCATGACGTTTAACAAGTCATTTGCGGTTGTACCATCTTCTTACATCCTCTTGTGCAGTAGAGGAGGTGCTCACAAGAGCCAACTCCTTTTTCTTTGCTGCCTCTAAGAAACAAATCTGTTATATGTCTGCAGAGTGCCATCAGTAACCTGTTGCTACTAATAAAATGTAAAAATTTGCGTTTATAGCAGCATGCTCTAAACACCTCAACAACTGCCTACATCATCTGCTCTAACAAACAGCAACAGTGACACAACTTCATAGCTCTTCGTGTTAGGCACTTCACCACTCTGCTATGTCTTTTGGAAATGTCTATAATGCAAGTATGCTTAGGCAAAGAAAGTATATTTAGGAGTAATGAGCAACTGCCTGTATATAATTCTGGATTCAGCATGCGCGTATTTGCTTCATCTGTTCAACCCAATGTATACTAGCAGTAAACTGAGGCAAATACAAGCGATTAAGAGCCATACTATGACATTGAACTACATAAAGCATTTCAATTTACCTATGTATAGGAAACAAAACCCTGTTTAAATGCCTCCTCTTAAAGAAACTGCTGCTCTCTTGAAATTGCGAGATGGAAAATTTTCACCTCTTTCTTGAGGGCCTGCAAATCAGCACTCTTGTCCTGCAGGAGTGCTTGCTTTGCTGAAGTGTCAGCCCTGAATGACAAGGGCGTGTGGACATTCACAGTAACTTTATTTCCATTTCTCACACCTGCAGTGTGACCAATAACGCGTTGACAGATGAGTCTTCCTGGCATGCACTGCTTCCTATAGGAGTACAAATGTATACAATTTATTTAGCAGCCATTACCATGCTGGAAACCCACTGTAGCTCAAACACCGAACCCCTGAAACATCACAGGACAACACAGCAAGGTAAGTGACATTAATTTCCACTGTACTTGTTTGCATACTAGCATTTCCCACAAACTGTAGAAGTTATTTACAGAAGAGCTGCACAGTAGGAGAACTCCAGCTGCACTTGTGTTTACCACCAGCTCAAAAAGAAATGCATTTGGTGTGACTTCTACTCCTACCCTAACTGTTACTTTAGCTGTTCCGCTTTCATTTGCAGTCCTCATTTCCAGCTATGCCGTAATGCATTAAATACATAAAGCCACAATCACTTAATACTGTCTTCCCAATCCTCATTCAGATTTTCTGGCACACGTGAAGTCTTGATTTAGAGGAGGAGGTTGCATCCTTCCATACTTTGCAAGACAGCCCCTTGGCACAGTCACATCGTTGGAAAATCTCCAGTCCATGGGACCCTTTCTTGCGCTGTTTGGTGCACACCTCCCCCTGATGCAACACAGGCTTGCAAATTTTGGTCCAGAAATGGCGAGCACAGCAGTGTCCCTCAATACAGTCTGATGACCGTAGGCAGGGATCGCCTTCGTGTCCTAAAAAGAGTAACCAAACTATTTTACCTCATGGAAAAATGTGAAAGTACAGATTCAGCGCAGGCTGATACAAATGAAGCTCAGAAAAAGGAGAGATGATATTTCCCTCTGTGGCTATTTGAAGGATGTAAACACAAGGGAAGAGACGAATTAGGCAGGTTCAAGGGGGTAATTAGCGAGCTCTGCCATAAGACTTAGTAAAGAGAAATTCAGCTACAGGATTGTAAGTAGAATTACAAGTGTTTAATTACATGACTGAAGAGGAGGATGTGTGCAATCTTGCACACCTGAAAAAGGGATTGTCAGCCCACCTCTGATACAGAGAAGAAAGCAGATGCTATTTCAATCGCAGGAACTGTTGGCTGACGCGTTACATCACTTTTTGAGTCATGCTGTGAATTCTCATGATAGACATTCACTCCCTGTGAAATCATTGCCTATTTCTGGTTTGCATTGCTGTATCTTAACAGCAATAACATGATTCATAACATGAAGGAACAAAGCAGCGTAGTGCAAATGTGATCCTACCTTTTATGTGTGACAGCTTGGAGCGTGACCTCCCTAGATTTTGCCATCCCAAATCCTTGCTGGCATAATGACCATTCTTCTTGTTGCGTGGCCCTTCTAGAGCAGGGATGTGAGGTGTAAGGATGCTTTCAGTTACTGGTATACAAATGCCTGTGAGGAAAAGACAGTCAGCCAAAGATTTGAACAAGAGGAAAAGCCGCCAAGAGACAGAGTGCAAGTACACAGACCAGGATCGGGACCATGACCGTGAAAGTGCTGGGGCTTGGCCTCTGACACTCAGCCCTAATCACAACTCTGTCCCTGATCCCTGGCACCTAACGTCACTGCAGCTCTTCTTCACTCGCTGTCACTCTGGCTTTATGGTCTGAGCACCTGGAGACTGCCTCTTAGACACCTCTCTCCAGTCTCCAGCCAGTATGGGAATGCAAACAGCACGGTTATAACCACACCCCCCAGGGAGAGTAGATTATGGGTTCATTAAGTCTCTTTTGCTTCCTTAAAAATATGGGTTCTGTACAGTATTCCAGTAGTATTTTTTTTATTTTGATTCCAATCAAACCACACTGAATGTAGAGCTGTGATTTCAGCCAGCAGCAGCATCGTTTTTGCGTTTCCCCACCCCAAAACAGGAAGAAGTCTGGTCATATGCAAGCCTTAAGCATAGAAATAATGTTAAAGAAAATGGAGTGGAATGAAGTAGAGAATTAAGTTTTCTTAGTTTAGAAAAAGAAGTACAGTCACCCAGAAAAAACATGCTGTTGCTAGGAACACTCAGAGTTAATAGAGGCTATCAAAATGCTGATTTTATGGAGGAAAACCAAGAAATGACTGACGTACCATTGTTGCAGCGGTTCCCAGGGCAGCACATGCCATCTCTGTGGCAGCGCTTCTTCTTCCTCCGGCACATCATGCATGCAGACATTGCTTGATGAGGACTGTGACAGTATCGCCCAACTTCGCATTCCTTATCATTGGTACAAGGGTAGGCCTGAGGGAGGTAAAAGAAAGGTTTGCAGTGAAGCACTGCTTTGTACAAGGCATGTATGCAGCCCATGTAAGGAAAAAAAACCAAAAAAACAACAAAACCACAAAACCCTCCAAAATCCCCCAAAAACCCCACACAAAACAACTGACAGTTGAGATACCATTCACTGGGGCCAGCAGATGCAGGTAGGCATGCTTCACTGCAGCCATATAGGAATCTTCAAGCTCATGCTGCTGGTGAAGATGTATCTGCTTAAAAAATTAGGGAGCTACAAGCAGCTCTCGAGTGGTTTCATCTTCTTTTTGCCACAAACATATGTTGGCACAAGAGAACTCAATATTTTTGTGGGCTCAGGCCTCTGATTCATAGGCAAGAGCTTAAAAACTCCACAGTGATGAATAAACGGAGCCATAAAACTTCTCTTAGTCATTAAGAACCCTGAAACATGCCCTGCAATAGGTAACATTTTAATTTAAACTCCAAGTTGACATTTTCCTTTGATAGTTGTCAAACACACTGACGGATAATAAGTTCACTGCTCTCTCGGTGAACATCTACACCACGTTGGTACAAGCTCCTTTGCAATTGCACCACGCCCCAGTGGCCCACGCCAGTTGGACTCCTTGGAAGTGAACAAACAGCACTGGTCAGCATTTCACTTTGATAACCTTTACTTCAGGTTATCAAAGGTCTTAGTGTGCTCCTTAAACTTGATACGTGCTAAATAACGCACTATGGTATGCAGCATGGAATATAATCTTTATAATAGAGCACAAACTGTCTTGCACATATAATTCCCTCTAAGCAGAGACACATGTATACAGTTCTCCTATATTCTTCAAAAGCAGCATTATCTTACAGGAAAACTGACTTTTAAAAAAAGGGTGTGAAAGCACTGTATTGTCCCATAAAGAGAGAGAAAGAAAAGTTTGTTCCTACAAGAGGAAAAGACATGATGCTTTAAGGAGACATAACACACACTGCTACATTCCAGGATCCTTTCTGCTGACTCCCACACAGCTACAACTATGCTCTGTCTGCATCTAATTTTACTGCCTATTAAATTAATCATAGATTTTTTTCATTCCTCAAAATTATACTTGAGGAACTTGTTTAGATAAAAACATGAGAATAAATTTTGGACCCTTTCTGGAAAATGATGTTTACACTTCCTCAGCTAATTTTCTCCATCATTTTAAATAAATCAAAGTATTTCTTTTACTGTTTTCAAAATGACTCTTGCAATTAATTTTTCACCACAAACAAAAAGCTCAACTGACTAATTTTCAATGTAGGCTGATTACTTTTCTAATAATATTTTAAATCAAGGCTTGATTGTATTGTTCTCAGAAAAGAAAAACTTGGAGGCTGTTGGGAATTTCCTCTGAAAATTGTTCTTTTAGATGGAGAACAACTTGTTTCTCTGTCTTTGTGCTATTCTGTTGAGAATCACAGAAGAAACGAGAGGTCTGATGATAAAACCAAGCGAGTTTCTCTAGTGCCATTAGTGGGAGGGAGAACCGTATCATTTTCCACGTGATTTCATGAGTTGTTTGCTTCGTCAAAATTTACTTTACAGTACCAAAAGTGCTGGCTGGACTTTTCCCAAGTGCTGCTGCCCCACTACTTCTGCCCTCTGAGTATGTGTCTTTCCAGAGTGCAGCTGTTTAGAGTAACCTGATGTACGTGTAAGTCTTTCTTCCTTAAGAATAAACATTTCCTCCTGCCTTCATCCTTGAGAGGATGAAGATCAGAGAGAACCAGATCTTGTAGCTAGGAGTAGTAATAAGAGACAAATGCAAGCACTCACCTGTTTGTTTGGTACTCTTAAGGCATAAGTGGATTCTACCTATTCTAGCAAAGCAGAACTAAAGTGCCATGCCCTGCCCTCAATCCCATCACTCTTTTCCCTCATTTTTCCAGCAAGAAATCATTAACACTGACTTACAATTTATTAAATAGTTACCATAAATGTAAGGCTTCCCTGACTTAAATGAGACCTTACTAAATTAAGGATCTTACAATGCAGAAAAACAATTTTATATAGACCTGTGCATGGTTATACTGAATTTGGAAAATACTAACACTGCTAGCTGGAGGAAATGCAAATGAAAAACAGATGAACAAGCTAAAACCTGGAGATGAAGGCATTTTAGACCCTTGTCTGTCATCAAGACCTTCATAACCGCATCTTTTTTCCAATATGGGCATGTGGTATACACCTGCAAGTTGTCAGCAAGAAGCCTACTTGCAGTTTTCTTTTGGTTCCTCAACTAGCTTTTTTTAAAAAAAAAAAAAAAGAGTTCCCTGATCCTGAATAGTGCTAATGAATGCTCTCACATACCATCTCTAGCGTCTGTTCTACTTTTGGCTTTTTCGGCTGAGTGATATGTAAAAGATATTTTAAGATAGGCATCTAATTGCCAACTCTTAGCTCTGTCTTTAAGAACTGTAAAAATAACAAAAGACAATTCTGACATTAAAAATTCCCAAGGAAAGTGATGTAACTCAGCCTTTAGCCCCACTCTAGAGCCCCATCCTAACTAAAGATGACACTTTTGAAATTAAAAAAATAAGCCAAAACATTCACCTCCCTAAGGCAAATGACTGCAGCACATCAAAAAATAGTTTTGTGTTACATGTAGCTCAGAAAACAACTGGCAAGTCCGTTCAAAACCCCCGAAGACCAGCTGCCAGCCAGCTAGATGAAAAACCCTCTTGCAAATGCCCGATGCCATCAATTGCCTTGATCATTCTTCCAAAACCACCATCCATTTGATATCCTAGCTACCAATCACAGGGAGCTTGAAACAAAAAAGCTTACATAGCCTTGTGTCTGCCTCCTAGTCACTAGACATTCATTGGAATAACTCCTGCTCCCAGCAAATTAATTTCTATCACTGCACAGCATTCAGTATTGAAACACAAAAATAAAACAAATTAATATAGTGTGGACGTAGCCTTGGCTAACAGAGGGGAAAATGTGTTCATAATTGCCTCATTGTTGGCAGTAGCTGAGCCAATCTATGTATAAATATGTATATATATTTAAAAATACCGGATAAAGAAAACATACTTGTAAAAATATACATGCTAACAATTGTCTATGCATGAGTAAAGGTTTTCAAAATCTCCTACACCACAATGCCTGAAACACAGTCTTTACGTTTAGAGAATTGCAGAGAACATTTCCTATATACAACACAAAGACACAAATCGGTCCCAGATGGAGCAGGAAAAAGCAAGCTGTAAACCAGCTCTACTTCCCCAGCAATGATAACTAATTCTACAAGGCACATCATCCCTTCACATTCTTCAGCTATACATATCATTTTCTGGTCGTAAATCTCTATCCACTAAACACAGCTTTGATATTATGGGAAACCAGATGAAACCGAGATAAAATATGTAGCACTCCCTAAAGCTGCATTTAAACAATCTTATTTAATTTTTCTAGCCCAGATTACAGGCAAACAAGTCACCCGTAGCATGACATAAACTAGATTTGCCTGTGATAATGAGTCGCATTTTCAGAATGTGTTGTCTGATTAAGAGCATTGCTTGCCGAGATGTTTTCTCCTCAGTCATTCCCATTACTTTTGTATGCTTGTATAAAAAATACTGTTGAATGCATGTCCAAAAATGTACAGCAAAGATGTACTGGATTTTTTTTCAATGTTGGAGGATTCCAGATAGATATTTAAATGGATGCTGCTCATGCTGTGCCAGGTTGTCCCCTGCATCAGCCTACCAAGACTAACCTTTGCCAGCCAGGTCATAGCAACATGTAAATGTTAAATTTTTCTTTTTGAGAGAAAGAGAATATGAATCTCCTTTCCTGACCTTGCTGAATTTATATTCAAAATGCCAAGAGCACATGATAGAAGTACTCAAGTCAAACGATGCAGATGATAGAGGAGAAACATTGGGGTTTTTTATAGTTGAACAAGTCCTTTCAGGAGTACTACTGAGGCTCTTCCTTTTGTATTAACTTCACCGGTGAGGCTGAGGAAGGGACTGACTATCTAACTTTTGTGACTAAGTGGCTAATGCCATTCCCTTGATTTGAGGAGTGTGCGGGAGCGAGGTGTATTTCTACCTTTGTTTTCCCCTTTTGGCAGAGGAGATCTAACTTAGCAACTTTTCTCAGTGCAATGAGGATTCCTTGACATTTTTGCTGGAGTCATTTACTATCCTGCATATTCTATACGCTCATCCTGAACCACAGAGTTTCACCGCAAGCTGGAGCCATACTAAGCGGTGGAACTGTTGTGCTATGGAGTCAGGCAGTCCGAGTCCCTCTGCCTGGCACTATAAAACGTAATGGAGAAGCACTCCAGGGAGAGAGCAAGACAGATGCTGTAACATGCTGAAGGGTGAGTGAGTAGACTGATGGCAGAAACACTTTATTGAGCTTTAGGAGATAAGGGCTTGACTTTCAGTATGGCCTCCAGCAAATACCTGAAGACAATATTCCCAGCCAGTGTCTTAGTCACCAGGCTCTCATTTGCTCATATTATGATGTGTCATTTGTGTTTATGCTGAAGGTACTCCACACTGTACTAGCTAACTATGTCAGAGGAAAGGCAGGAAGAGCCACTGGCATTTTTACCTAGGCTGTGTCATCACTTATCCAGCACAAGCAGTCCTAGACACTGCTGGCTTCAGACCCACCTTCAACACTGAGAGGAGCTGTGCCTAAGTAAGTGATTTGGTGGTACAGGTATCAGTAGTGACTCCCCCAGAAGCAGGTTTTTTTTTAAACACATCATAAAGTCCAAGTGCAGAGTTGGTGATGGCAGGAGATCGTGACTACTACCACTCCCAACAGGAGAAATAGCATGAAGGTTATTCATTACCCTTTTTCTGTGGATGCTGAGCAGCACTCAGGAAGAGAACTAAAGTCTCATGTACCGCCTAAGTGACACTATCACTGCGGTTACTGTACTGGACACTGGGCCAGCTTCTGTCAGTACCATCCCATGATGGTACTGGGGATGGAG